TGTGTGATTTTGAATTTGTCTTTTGTTGTTTGGTTAATATGAAGCACACAGTCGCAACAGAAAAACAGGCTGCTGTCACTTTAAGAGCCGCAAGGATCCAATTTACCGTTACACGCGTATTTTCATTCTCAACTCTTTACGTTCATTTATTACATGACCGATGAAGGTATACATGAATAATCACTAAGCGCCGCATTTTACAGTCCATGTTCTGCTCCGTCTAGGAGCGCATATATCTTCCTGAGGAGCAGCGCGAGTTCTCTTTCACGCTTTTAAAAACATGAATAAATATACTTATATAAATCAAGCACGTCCCATTTTGCAAAAGTCACGTTACATGATTTTACTGATTTGCACGTGAAATTGGGCTTTTATGGAGGAACAAAAAGGGGCATAATTATCGTTTTATCTCGATTGTTGTATTTTCATAATCGTTGGAGGCCAAAATCGAAATCGAATTTGTTTTTCGATTAATTACACAGCCCTAATTTCAGTCACTCTACTTAAAAATGTCATGTTTAATTTGATGTATTACTTGCCCTTTTTTGTAATTGTTAAATTTACTAGCAATTTCTGAGTGAAAATTGCTTTTACACAGTTTTCTTCAATGTACTTTTATGGTTGGCTATTGTTTTAATTGATAATATCCGTTGCCCATTAACTTTAATTATTTAGAATGCCAACATAACAGGCCATGATGCAAAGCTCAACAGTTACCAGTTTGTTTCCAGATTAAAACGGATCAAAACACAAAAACAGCCAAAAGGATGCGTTTTTAGGAGAGACATCAATGTTTTGGGTCACAACAACTGTTTTATTGCAAACGCAAGCGGCACAATAGCAAAGCTGCGCTATTTTCAGGTAGCTCTTCTTATTTTGCAGCATACATGTGTCCAGACGTGCAGTGTCGTCTGTTAAAACACACTTATGTAAACCCTCCAACTCAGGAGCACCCGAGGGCTATGAAACAGACGCATTTCATATTCAGCACCTGGCAAACGGCAGCTCCTTGGGTCTAAAGCGAACGGTGAACTCCAGCGGCTTGATGTGCCGCGTAAAATCTGGTTTCCGAAACAAACTCTGCTTTAGTCTTCTAAGCTGATTTTCTCTGGTCTTTGTCCTAGAAATGGGTGTCGTGGCAAAGCCCAAAGACGAGAATCTCAAAGCATATTTAACATTTCCATGTGGTTTTGAGGGGGGCTAACGTTCTCCGAGTTGAGCACCGTGACCCACAGTCCTCAGCAGTTTCTCCTAATAAGGGCATATTGGGGGGAAACGCAATCCTGAGAGCAGACTCCACTTTCAGAACATCTCAGTCGGACAATTAAAATACGTCAAGACCGCAGCTGAACGCACATCATGTTTACAAGAGTCACTAGTGAAGCTAGATGAATGGCTACTTACCGGCAGACTCTCTTAATGTAACTGGCAAGTTACGGGATTAGAGTTCATGTGCTTTAAAACAACTACAACCATACTGGGACATGATTACATCAGTGTCTGGAGTGCATACTTGAGCGTTTCTTAAGATCAACTGACGCACACACTACACATAACAAACCCTAAAATAATTGAAAACTAGCCATACAAGAGCAGTGTGTGATTTTGAATTTGTCTTTTGTTGTTTGGTTAATATGAAGCACACAGTCGCAACAGAAAAACAGGCTGCTGTCACTTTAAGAGCCGCAAGGATCCAATTTACCGTTACACGCGTATTTTCATTCTCAACTCTTTACGTTCATTTATTACATGACCGATGAAGGTATACATGAATAATCACTAAGCGCCGCATTTTACAGTCCGTGTTCTGCTCCGTCTAGGAGCGCATATATCTTCCTGAGGAGCAGCGCGAGTTCTCTTTCACGCTTTTAAAAACATGAATAAATATACTTATATAAATCAAGCACGTCCCATTTTGCAAAAGTCACGTTACATGATTTTACTGATTTGCACGTGAAATTGGGCTTTTATGGAGGAACAAAAAGGGGCGTAATTATCGTTTTATCTCGATTGTTGTATTTTCATAATCGTTGGAGGCCAAAATCGAAATCGAATTTGTTTTTCGATTAATTGCACAACCCTAATTTCAGTCACTCTACTTAAAAATGTAATGTTTAATTTGATGTATTACTTGCCCTTTTTTGTAATTGTTAAATTTACTAGCAATTTCTGAGTGAAAATTGCTTTTACACAGTTTTCTTCAATGTACTTTTATGGTTGGCTATTGTTTTAATTGATAATATCCGTTGCCCATTAACTTTAATTATTTAGAATGCCAACATAACAGGCCATGATGCAAAGCTCAACAGTTACCAGTTTGTTTCCAGATTAAAACGGATCAAAACACAAAAACAGCCAAAAGGATGCGTTTTTAGGAGAGACATCAATGTTTTGGGTCACAACAACTGTTTTATTGCAAACGCAAGCGGCACAATAGCAAAGCTGCGCTATTTTCAGGTAGCTCTTCTTATTTTGCAGCATACATGTGTCCAGACGTGCAGTGTCGTCTGTTAAAACACACTTATGTAAACCCTCCAACTCAGGAGCACCCGAGGGCTATGAAACAGACGCATTTCATATTCAGCACCTGGCAAACGGCAGCTCCTTGGGTCTAAAGCGAACGGTGAACTCCAGCGGCTTGATGTGCCGCGTAAAATCTGGTTTCCGAAACAAACTCTGCTTTAGTCTTCTAAGCTGATTTTCTCTGGTCTTTGTCCTAGAAATGGGTGTCGTGGCAAAGCCCAAAGACGAGAATCTCAAAGCATATTTAACATTTCCATGTGGTTTTGAGGGGGGCTAACGTTCTCCGAGTTGAGCACCGTGACCCACAGTCCTCAGCAGTTTCTCCTAATAAGGGCATATTGGGGGGAAACGCAATCCTGAGAGCAGACTCCACTTTCAGAACATCTCAGTCGGACAATTAAAATACGTCAAGACCGCAGCTGAACGCACATCATGTTTACAAGAGTCACTAGTGAAGCTAGATGAATGGCTACTTACCGGCAGACTCTCTTAATGTAACTGGCAAGTTACGGGATTAGAGTTCATGTGCTTTAAAACAACTACAACCATACTGGGACATGATTACATCAGTGTCTGGAGTGCATACTTGAGCGTTTCTTAAGATCAACTGACGCACACACTACACATAACAAACCCTAAAATAATTGAAAACTAGCCATAACTCAGGCTCACTGGGAAAACGTGCCTACGGCGGTGCCTCTGCAATTGACAATACGTTGCTTCTTGATAGTTGCACGACACTTTCGAAGTGAAAGTGAAGCATCTGAAACAGATGAACGTGAATCTGGCAACGTTTTATTACACTGCTTGTTGCACATATTTTCGGCAGTTCAGAAATTAAAAGCACAGAAAGTTTAATGCTGTATCATGTTTTAAAATAATAACGCAACTGAACCCGACCCTAAACCTAATCGATAATAAAAATAAAAGCAAACGTGAGATAAAAACACACGTGCTGAAGCAACCATGTCATGTTATCTAGCTTCTACAAGTCTCTGAGCTCTTTTATCGTGACTGGTGTTTGACGGACTCGTACCCGAGCGCTTCTCATCACAAGTGCAATGCTGCACCGGGTGCGCTACCGAGCAAGTTTACTACAGCAGAAAAGACACACATATGGAGCTGCTTATGAGATGATAACATCAAAATGTGTTAGTTTACAAATCATGCACTATGATAAAAGTGTTACGAGCTCATAACATAGTATTGTGCACAAAAATCAGTCTTTGTTAATCAACAATCTGCCCTGTAATCATAATCTGTGTGAAAAGGGATAAAAGTTGTCTGTGTTTTACTGCCACTAGTGATGGTTTTAGCTGGAAACTGCAGTGAACTGTATGTACAGGTAAGTTTTTGCGAAAAATAGAGCTTGGGTTGAAAGGAACGATCAGCTAAGGAAACTGAAGACCTCAGTATATAGAGGTAAAACAGATTCTGCGCTATGAGAAGATTCCCAGGAGACGAGAGAGCCTCTTAGAAGTGAGCTAGTGTGTGTCATGTGCTCAAATATCAGATCAATTCACAACCACCTTCACTAGAGACAAAGCATTTCAGCACGATAACATGCAAAACAAAGTCAGAGTCTGACACTTTGTTCTCAGGAATACTTAAAAACCTTAAGCACATTTGTTTTCTGCACAAATAAAATGAAGCCATAGCGTTTTATTTTGTGAAACCTTACTACGTATATGGAGTTTAACCGTTTTATAAAAGCAATAAGCCCCGTGAAGCCGTGGTTTACAGTGAATTTATAACAGCTAAGACTCCGCGTCACTTCGTGCCTAACAACAGCTGTTATAAATTCACTGTAAATCACGGTTTCACGGGGCTTATTGCTTTAAATGACACCAGAGCAGACAGCGTTTTCAAAGCCAAACAATGGCAGGAAACTCTGTAGCACTAGTTTGGATTGTCCTCACCACTCACTGGAAATAAAAACAACGTCCTCCCTCAGCCCTCTCGCACACTGATGTGACTCCAGCCTTCTGCCTCGTGCTGCACAGCAGAATGATGAATTGCACCGTGCTAAAAGGCACCGCTGTAGTAAGCAACCGAAGCGTCAGGAGTCGAGGGCTCGGAGGGACGCAGTGCTAGTACTGAGCCTGTGTGTGGGCTTCACTGTTTACACACAAACGCTGTAATCTCTGGCCAGACCGGGCAGCTAATTTGGTCACCCATGACACATTCCTGTGAAACAAACAGGCTGAATCGGGCTCTCATTAACCACAGGACCATGTTCTGCTGGTTCCCATCCGATGGACTCCCTCGGTCGTTCTCATCTCTGAGCTGCTGCTGGAGCAACAAACTGTTGCTGGTTTATTTTAGTTCAGGGATGGTGGTGATGTGTTTTTATTGGAGAGGATTCCACTGAGGTTTGGTTAGGCCAGCTTTGAAGACCATGAATGTAATCTCTCAGCTGAGCGATTAGACTCACAGACCACTGATGTGCAATTGCGTGATCAAAAGATATAAAGAACGGAAGGCTTACCGATTCATCCAGAGCGAAGCGCAAGCAGCCGTGTTCATAAAGGACGAAGAATCGTCGCTGCCATTTCTGCGTTAAAAGGAAGTATTATTAATGTTATTCATATTTGCTAAATTAAACTACTTAAAAAGGCTACTTGTAATTAGTTTTCTACAAAACAAAGCCGGAAATCGAGGGGTTATGACATCATTAGCAGGCGACACAATGGACACGCTCCGTGTAACTAGCTAAAATTGCTTATTTCTCTGGATTTAAACATTCGTCAAAACATTTGGGATAATGTAAGTACACAAGTCAGCAAAATATATAAACACTGTTCTAGTGGTTTTTGGAGATTTTAATAAAAAAATCTTACATATTGTGCCTTTAAATCGACAGCTCTAATACAAAATTTTGAGCGAATAAGTAACAAAAATACACATCTCAGACTGAAGTTAATGTCTCTCACACTAAACAAGTTTTATTTGTGTACAGCCACGATATTAACGCAAACCTTCCTTATAAATAAGGTCACGTTCTCTTACCCGGGATCTCTGCATGGGATTGTCAAAGTCCGTCCCCTCTGGAGCCAAACACAGCCATCCGCCATAGATCGGCTTGGCCTGCGAGAAAATCAAAACATATTATTAAAATCTTGAGTCAACAATGGTACAAGTTGGAACATTTTGTGGTTTGATTGTGATGATGGTCATCACAAGATTGAGATTTTGATCAATTTGAGGGACAAGCATCACCAGTTTTAAAGCGTAAGCTACAGGTGCGAGCTTAGACGCAGCGGAGCAGGGTTAGGCAAGTTAATACAGCTTCACTATGGAGCAGATGTTTTGCCTCAAAGGTTAAAAACGCAGGGTTATTAAGCAGCGTCTCGCCTGCAATCAAAAACGCAAGCTCATCTTATTCAAAGCTGACGCGGCTGGCACTTTTACGATCTAACCTTCTCAATGAATGCAATGACCTCAAATTTATGACTTGAATATTCTTTATCCTCGCATGCAAAATAAGGACCAAACAAGACCTTGATGTTGTAAAATTAACCATAAGTTGAGCTTGAGCTAAATAACGGCACTATTGTCTTTTAGAATTGCTTTACAGTTCAGTTTTCATAATTGATTTTGTCCCGGTCGTGCGTGGGGCTTTTTTATTACTCCGTGTCAATTGTGCTTTGACACAATCTGTATAAAATATAGAAATAAAAGAACTTGATATGTAGGGATGGGAATTTTCAGGCACCTCAAGATCCGATCCAATTCCCATTTTGGGAATCATGATCCAATTCCAAACAATATTTTTTTTCTTATTTATTAACTTATTAATGAGTGTACCGCCTTTGAATGTCAAATTTATTTGTGCATTTCTATTAAAATTACTTTTGTATAATTATAAGTAACTTTTGAACAGAATTAATAATAAAATCGAAACAATTATATGTCAGGGTTTGTCCTGCATATAGAATTATGAAGCAGCCGCCTCTGGCTGTCGACAAAACTCTTTTTTTAGTCCAAAGGTTCACATATTTGGCATACATGTTTACTTGATATTTCTTTACACAGAATCATCATTTCTATTCATTTTCCACTGATTTATCTGATGAGCATTATCTATCTGTGTTTTCGCTTCATATGCCTTCCGCATTCAGTTCCGTGCATAAACAAGAAACGCTTCTGCACACAAAACATAAAGCTAATAAACACACGATTGCGAAAGTATATGATTTGTAAGTGATTTTCATGAGATTTGGGGTATTTTCATAACAATAAAGAATGTTTACATGAAAAATGCTATGCTGGTGTATAAAAGGCTACAAATAATTTATTTCAACAACATTATATGACTAAAATCCACATTAGATCGCAATCGGAGGTTATTACAAACACTCAATGGTGGTTTAAAATGAGATTTGAGTAAAAACGTAGTATTAAATGCTATGCTGGTGTATAAAAGGCTACAAATAATTTATTTCAACAACATTATATGACTAAAATCCACATTAGATCGCAATCGGAGGTTATTACAAACAATTTTCAATTTCAAATGAGATTTGAGTAAAAACGTAGTATTCATTTTATAAATAGACAACCCTAAAAATAGCAACGTATCCTGTGGGATACAAACATTAAAATCTAAATTAAAAGTCATGTTTTTTAAAAAATTATCAAGTTGTATTATATGTGTCCCAATAAGATGGAAAATAGCAATACATACATTTTCTGATGTCTCTTTATGGTCTTGCCATTTTTAGGGTTAAGGTGATGATACAAAGGGAAACTATTTTTTGAGCAATGTTGCCTGGACACCTTTTCATCAAAAAATGTCCATCTGGATACTTTAGATCGGTCGTGGGCCCTGTGTCTCACCTGGTTGCCTGTGGACGGCAACATTGCCCAGCAAAATTGCTCAAAAAGTTGCCCCGTCTATCATAGGTGTTATGTAGCTCAATGCTAATGTTAGCTCTGTGCACCTGTTACCCTACTGCGATTAAATGTCATTATGTATTCTATCAGAAGAATTCACGTAGGGTTGTAAGAAAATGTTTTTGCTTTCTAGAAAGACACTTTATAATAAGTGGATAAATGTATATTGGATCAAAGTGATGTGCATGGACCAGGAGACTATGAGGAGTGAATAAAGATGTCATGAAGTGTTTAACAACCTAATGTTATGTGTATGTTCACCTGGACTGCAAAATGGCCTGGTTTAGCTGTTATGTTGAGTTTAATTTTGTTAAAAGGTTTGTTGTCAAATTTCACTTGATAATTGTCATTTTCTTCAGTCATCTAACTACTAGAACACCTTAAATGCGTAGCGTGTAAAAAGTGTTTGTTTCAGCCAGTTGAAGGGTGGGTTCAATGTGTGCAATGCTCAGGTGAAATGCTATAGTAAATCGTATAGTAATAGTATATCACGCATACGGCGCCATGATTTCCGCAATGAATGAATGGCGGATGGCGCGGCGCACTGTTTTGTTTACTACACACATTACTAAAGTGCGGATGATGCTCGTGGTGTTTTCAGCTTCTGCCGTCTCACTATATGATGATCTGAACACGAATATCATCTCCAGCTGCTCTGAGAGTCACTTCATTAGCATTTACCCTTTCATTTGAGAAAACTACCCTCATATCACACACACAGCAGCTGCAAGTTCCTCATGGAAACCCGTCAAAATAAAAGTTTAGTTTAATGTTAAACTGTCAGAATGTATTACTATTTAGCAGTCTGAAGACTACTGCTACTACTGCTAATAAATATTAATAAATCTTTTTTTTTTAAAGGAATAATCACATCTGTTTTATTTTTAATTTGAACAGTAAACCTCTGTTGTGCAGCACTTTGTTTGCCAAAAAATAAAAGGGTTTAATTTTCATTTGATTAGGATAAATTAAATTTATGCCTTCATCTGATTACCAGAAAAATTAAGAACATTTTATAGGGCCCTATTATTGTTCAAAAAAGGACAAAAAAAGAATAGGTTTAAAATACAGGCATGTGGTTCTTAACTTCTTTTTATTAATTCACCATTTGTAAACTGATGTTTACTGTTCATTTTTTAGAAATATCAATAGCATTTGTATTAAAACTATATTCACTGAACGCAATCAAAAAATCGAGAATCGAATCGATACCCAGCGCTACATACAAGCAAATGGAGGAGGACAAACGCATTACAAGCAACAAACAAAAAGTGCTTTCAGTTCAGACAGTGCTTTAAGCTTCTCTTTAGAGCTTCTAATCTAGACCAAGAGCAGTGAATTAATTTTCTCTTTTTCTGTGCATTACCGCTGTTTGATTATTACTGATGACATCAACGACAGCGGCAGGTCTAATAGACTGCTTTCACACGAATGCACAGATGTTCTGACATATAAGATGCTTGTCCTGTCCTTAAAACAAAACTGCTTACAAGAATCGCTGAAGAGAGAATGGTGATGCATTGATTTTTTTCCCCCCAGCCCTCCCCATAAATACATCTTTAAAACAACAGAGGATACCTGGGGACCAAATGTAGCCGTTTTCCTCTCTGGAAGAGGAGGGGCAAAACAAAACACAGCTGTGACTCTAGCATGTGAGCAGTGGCACACCCCTGCGCTTTCCTTCCTCTCTCCAGCTTCACGTCTAACCCCACGGCCCCACCGGCCGCATCACGTTTAACTCCCAATTTCCTCCCAGGCTGAATCCTGAGGACAGCCGGCTCCCAGCAGTCCACTTTATCCCTGCATCGCCTGGACGCACTCGCCTTGAACTTCTACCCCCCCCGGCTAAACAAACCCAACGCCCACCCCGGGCCCAAACGCAGCTTCAGACCTTTAGGAAACTCTGCTCCTCTTTCCCAACACACACTTCCTTTCACAAGCCCCCGCTCCCGCTCACAGCAGACCTCCTTCTGCATGAGAATCACACAGTTACGCTCCAAGCCGCTTGAAGCAACTTTCCATTTTTAACATGCGGGCTGGACCTCAAAATAAGAGACAAAACAAGTGTAAAGCTGGATGTTATACAGAAGCAAGCTGGATTTATGTTCTAGCATTTCAATGCATTGAGTTCCTGAAGATGTCAATGTCCTTGCTTTCAAAAGTCAGGAAAAAAATTTAAATAACACTTGGTCCTATAGATCTAATAAAAGTCAAATCCCATATGAGCTGATCTCTATTAATGGGCTCCATGCACGACTGCTTTCTCATTTAGCCTCAATGGCATCTGCAACTTGAAATTTAAGCACAAAATTAAATCTTACAATAAGCGTTACATGACAGGACAGAGCATTTTGTGAATATGTTATAAAATGTAATTTATTGCTGTGATCAAAGCTGATTTTTCAGCACCATTACACAAAGTTGGTGTGCACAGAGTCAATTCTGCTGAGCTTGCTCTGGAAGGCCTTGAGAGAAGTTGAAAGCATAATTTAAGGAACGAGTCTGTGAAGATTACAGTATTTTGAAAGCCTTTTACCCCCTGGGTAAGTAAATGACTATGTGCTGCCAACATTTCCTCAAAGGAACCATTTGACTCAAACACCCATTCAACTTCCTCTGTGAATTACATAGAGGAACAGATAAGGTAACTCAATTGTGTACATATTTTTGTATACATTACATAGATCCACAATGGTCAACTTTCTAGCCATTAAACTTAAGGCCATTTTCAGAGCTGTAGATAGTTTGCTTTGTTACGAAACAGGGACTTAAACTGCTACAATGTTGCATTTCCTTCTTGGTACAGTTCGCTTTCACATAGCAACATTTCAAAGCGTGTCAAAATGTCTTTCTGCAAGTCACATCTAATAGACTGCTTTCACACGAATGCACAGATGTTCTGACATATAAGATGCTTGTCCTGTCCTTAAAACAAAACTGCTTACAAGAATCGCTGAAGAGAGAATGGTGATGCATTAATTTTTTTCCCCCCAGCCCTCCCCATAAATACATCTTTAAAACAACAGAGGATACCTGGGGACCAAATGTAGCCGTTTTCCTCTCTTGAAGAGGAGGGGCAAAACAAAACACAGCTGTGACTCTAGCATGTGAGCAGTGGCACACCCCTGCGCTTTCCTTCCTCTCTCCAGCTTCACGTCTAACCCCACGGCCCCACCGGCCGCATCACGTTTAACTCCCAATTTCCTCCCAGGCTGAATCCTGAGGACAGCCGGCTCCCAGCAGTCCACTTTATCCCTGCATCGCCTGGACGCACTCGCCTTGAACTTCTACCCCCCCCGGCTAAACAAACCCAACGCCCACCCCGGGCCCAAACGCAGCTTCAGACCTTTAGGAAACTCTGCTCCTCTTTCCCAACACACACTTCCTTTCACAAGCCCCCGCTCCCGCTCACAGCAGACCTCCTTCTGCATGAGAATCACACGGTTATGCTCCAAGCCGCTTGAAGCAACTTTCCATTTTTAACATGCGGGCTGGACCTCAAAATAAGAGACAAAACAAGTGTAAAGCTGGATGTTATACAGAAGCAAGCTGGATTTATGTTCTAGCATTTCAATGCATTGAGTTCCTGAAGATGTCAATGTCCTTGCTTTCAAAAGTCAGGAAAAAAATTTAAATAACACTTGGTCCTATAGATCTAATAAAAGTCAAATCCCATATGAGCTGATCTCTATTAATGGGCTCCATGCACGACTGCTTTCTCATTTAGCCTCAATGGCATCTGCAACTTGAAATTTAAGCACAAAATTAAATCTTACAATAAGCGTTACATGACAGGACAGAGCATTTTGTGAATATGTTATAAAATGTAATTTATTGCTGTGATCAAAGCTGATTTTTCAGCACCATTACACAAAGTTGGTGTGCACAGAGTCAATTCTGCTGAGCTTGCTCTGGAAGGCCTTGAGAGAAGTTGAAAGCATAATTTAAGGAACGAGTCTGTGAAGATTACAGTATTTTGAAAGCCTTTTACCCCCTGGGTAAGTAAATGACTATGTGCTGCCAACATTTCCTCAAAGGAACCATTTGACTCAAACACCCATTCAACTTCCTCTGTGAATTACATAGAGGAACAGATAAGGTAACTCAATTGTGTACATATTTTTGTATACATTACATAGATCCACAATGGTCAACTTTCTAGCCATTAAACTTAAGGCCATTTTCAGAGCTGTAGATAGTTTGCTTTGTTACGAAACAGGGACTTAAACTGCTACAATGTTGCATTTCCTTCTTGGTACAGTTCGCTTTCACATAGCAACATTTCAAAGCGTGTCAAAATGTCTTTCTGCAAGTCACATGGGAGTAAATCTGTCTTCTCATTGGTCAGAATGCACCTGTTTATGTTCCTCATAGCGTCAATCATCAAGATGGATTGACAATCAAGCTTGGTTTCGTTGAGTCGGTTTTCAATTGACCCTTCGCCTAGACCAGCCCCCCCTTAGTTACTGTTGCTACGTCCGACAAGCCACAGTGCTCTCACGCCACACATCATGTTCACGCAGTGAAAAACACTGGCAACTTGCAGACAGACAAGACAGAGCAGGTTACTTTTGGAATGAAACAAAGTCTTAGCTTTCAAATTTTGTCATTTCTTTAGAAATTCAAACAATTCAGTTTTGTGGCTCTTTAATGTGTCGTAACAGATTGCTGTTGAGCCTCAGTTCAGGCGATCCCGGACTGATTTTTTTGTTCCGTTTTGATCCAAATGTAATGGCCGTGTTCATATACGGCAAACCAAATGCAGCTAAGGGAGAAAATGCACCATGTTCAGAAACAAACTCTCCACACGAGCCAGGTTTGAAAGGCACTCCCGGACTCAACGCTAAGAATTTTTTCTGCTGGTCTGGTCGCGGCAGTGGTTAATTTTTACTTGCCCCTCCAACATTTTCATATGACTGTTTGCATTCACTTAAGATACTCGCCAAGACGGGTATTTTTACATAATTTTATGTGTATTTGCCCATTTAAACGCAAGAAGACGCGAAAGAGAACTTGATTTTGTATTCGCGCGTTGTCTGAGACACGGCTCTCAGCGCGCACAGAAAACAGCATCCGTCGTCAACGTCGTCTTGTGCTTGAACATTTTAAAACTTTAAAAGTTTCAGTGCTTCCCTAGTTATGGTGGTTATTGACGTTTTAATCAGGCTTCTTGTCCGGTCAGACAAGTAAAATTCTCTCTCTTGCCCCTTTAAAAATCTACTTGTCCCAAACAAGCCTTAATCGAGCCCTATGGTTCCCCCAAGGTTTACTTTGGCCCTACATGTATTACAGATTGTGAACATTGTGTCTTCTTCACTCACAGTGAAGAACTTCCCCGCCGCCGACATGTGGATGTGAGCGTAGGTGTGACGGAAGAACGGACCGACTGACCGGCCGATCATGAATCAGTCGATCGGTGCATCTCTAGTCTCAACCTCTAAATGTCTTGGTCTCGGTTTAGGTGGTCTTGATTACAACACTAACGCAAAGGCTGAATTGAGTTCTTTCACGTATTATTGCGCTTGAATGCATTAAAATCGCTTGCACATTTAAATTGGCATAGCTTAAAAACACAAAGGATAAACATTTGTGACAGAATTCTGTCAACTGTCCGAGCATCTTTCACACCGGCCCCGGGACCATCGGGCACTCGTTATTGTCGAGCCCTGGCCCCAAGTGGCGCCATCTCTGAATTTGGTAAACTACATTTGACAGTTATTTACTAATCCACTGAATGAGACAAACATTTCAAAAGGCTCAAGGCACTTTTGGCAAATGGAGGCAAACAATTGGGACTGGAATATTCGGCTTTGCCAGGTAATAGGAAGAGATGAAGTGGGACTATTAGATTTGATCTGTGAGTTTCTGATGTCACAGTTTGATCAGTCATAACCTCACATAAACTCATTGGTTCTCGCACACCATGCACGCATGTTTGACCATATTTGATGAGCTCTATGTATGTGCGTCAATCAATGTCAATGTACGACATGAGGGGGAGGAAATAACAACAATGGGTAAACCATCCCTTTAATTTCCATTTTATATTAAAACTGGAGTACGTACTTGATCTAAGGGTATGGCCAGTGTCTAACCTGAACTTTCGGTAATACTGTTGCCAAAACAAAAATAAAGAAGTGATAAACTGAACCTTTGAGGACGACCGTTACACAACACCAGAGCCCAAAAGGGTTTGATTTAGTAATGAACGCTGGCTCATCTTAGCGGGATTAGTTGAGTGACGTAATCCATCACAGTGATCTGGCACAGAACAGATTAATGCTGGTAATCTCACTCAAACCACACACTCATGCTGACGTCGCCCGGCGGCTCTGAAGGGTATGGGATGCATTAAAAAAAACACAACAGGCCCTTATGGTCTGAAACTTTTCCTCTCATTCATTCGCTTTCAAGAGCACATATGGTCATGCAATCAACCAAAGCTTTCTTTCACTGAATAAGATCATTAGAGGGGGGGGGGACACTTTGGATTAGTAAGAAATGGACTCCAACATGGGCTCACATCACATGGAGACGGCCGGTTATTTCCCAAGCTCCAGCAGCAAAGCTATAAAGTGCCTGTAATCCTGTGGAGGTTTAGAAATGCTCTGGTTATGACAACCTTCATCTTAATTAAAGGGGTCATATGATGCGATTTCAAGTTGTTCTTTCTCTTTGGAGTGTTACAAGCTGATTGTGCATAGATAAGATCCCTGAAGTTGCAAAGACTAAAGTCTCAAAACCAAAGAGATATTCTTTATCAAAGTTAAGAGTCAGCCACGGCCCCCTAAAACGCCTGTTCTAACACGCCCCCACATGTCTACCTCACTATGTGGAAATATTAGCATAATGCGCCAAATGTGCACGCAAAGAAAGAAGGCGTGGTTTCAGTAACCGCAGTTAGTGTTGAAGCAGCATGTCAGAGAGACGCTGTGTGTTTCAGTGCGAAAAGCACTTTATTTGGCCTTCCGGAAGTAGATTAAAAGCTGGCCATTATGGTAAGGGGCGTTACATTTCCGACCCGGTGTTCGGCCAATCACAATGCACTGGGTCAGCTGGCCAATCAGAGCAGACTGCGCTCGTCGGAAGGAGGGAAGCGTTTGAGAGAGGCGGGGCATAGAGGACCTACAATAATGTACAGTATTTTAAAAATAATGTGTTTTTTGAACATTAAAGCATGTCAACATATTCTGTTACACCAAATACACAAAATAATGATCTTTAAAAAAAGCATCATATGACCCCTTTAAAAGTTCCCTCTAGCAGAAAATAAGGCTTTCTTACATGTTGAACGTTCAGCCGTGTCGTAAATATAGTTATCTGGAACGTGACTGTTTTGAAATATGGTTGCAAAAGGCTAACAAAACACTTCTAAATCAATTCTGAAATTTTAACAAGCTCTGTATGAAAATATATGTTGAAAAGGCGTTATGCTACCAACACAAAACTGAAACAAGTTCATTTCAACGGATTCAACTTCGATCCATAAAATCCAGACTGATTTTATATAAATAATCGGAACACATTTCATAAAACCTAGCTGGAACGCGGTTTGGACCAATCACAATTCAGAAGCGGACCTCTGCTGGCTTCTGATTGGTCAACACAGCGTTCCAACTGTATGCAGTAAATACAGTAGATCAGGCACGAGCAGAACCGTGAGGGGGGCATGTATAAAGCACCTGCATGCGGCCACTGAAAACACTGTAAACAGCCTAATCGTGTCTGAAACCAGTACACAGTTAACAGGAGAAACCAATTCCACACAGAAAGAGGTCACAGACTGATCAATAAAGCGCTGTCAGCTAATGGAGCTCAGCTGAGCTAAACGCGTTCACACCTGGTTGAGGTCCTGGTCCGTCAGCAGATGCAGCTCTCGCGGCTTGAAGCAGTTCTGACATTTGCTTTTGTTGAAAATGTTCGCCTGGAACTTCCTGCACGTGTTTTCCTTCGCGGCAGACATCGCAGCGCTGCTCCAGAACTCCTGCCTCGACCCACCGCTGACCCCGAGGCTCTCTCAGCCGGCTCTCCGCAGCTGACCCCGAGGCTCTCTCAGCCGGCTCTCCGCAGCTGACCCCGAGGCTCTCTCAGCCGGCTCTCCGCAGCTGACCCCGAGGCTCTCTCAGCCGGCTCTCCGCATGCCGGGCCGCGGCAGCTGCACGGTACCCCCGCGGTCTCCCGCGCCAGACCACAGCGGTTTATGGAAGAAGAGCTCTAGTTAACAGGCCCGCTCGGGTTCATCTGATCTCACTTCTGCGCGAATCGATGCTGGAATACTGCACGCGGTAAACAAAGCGATTATTTCACGTCTAGGAAGCGATGGGGAGGTATCCTGGTTTTCAATCCCAAAGGCAGTTTCTCCCTCAGGCGGGAAGTTTTCACCGCTAGCGTCTGTTAACGTTAGCTCGCTAATCACGCTTCTCCGCCGGCTCGTTTAGCGGAGCTTTAACACTCCCAAAGTTCGGCGAAGCTGGCATGTTATCCTCCGCCGGTACCGTACACGTCTTGGCTCGGAGGCTACGGCTCCGCCAGCTGGGATAAACCAACGTTTCGACGGTTTTCCAGGCTAAAGAGGCTGTGTTTTCTCTCCCCTCAGACGCGCTCCAGCTCTCCCAATGGAGGAGGTCGCGAGAGGGTTGCCAGGTTTCACAACAAAACCCGCCCAGTTGCTGCTCAAAAGAGTATCCCAGTCGCGTTCCGGGGGGTAAAACACACGTAAAATACACGTCCGACTGGTAAAATTCGCATATCACGTTATTGGGGTCGCTTCAAACCGCGGATATGAAAAACAACCCGCGGCAACAGTGTTAAAGTAGCGCGATTTCGCGGGAAACCCGCGGACCTGGCAACACTGAGCGGAGGACGCGACTCGCAGGTTTGCTGCTGGAATTTCAGTTTCTCTCGCGAGAGTTCGGAGCGAGAGCAGGGCGCGGAGAGACACCCAGCTGTGGATTAGTTTCTATATGACAAAACCTCACAAACAATATACTAATGTTTAATGGGATATTTCTTCTTTTTTAAAAAAGTATTTTTTTTATGTAATTTGATCTTTGCTGAATTAAAGTGGTTTGCACTTACAGATCTTTTGAAATTAAATATATACTTTGCAACTGTTGTGTACTTTATTGTGTAATCTGATATGTCTTATACACAGGTTACCCAAATATTAATATCGCAGACTGCTTATGTGCTTGTGTGTAAATCAATCAATCAACAAATATGACTGGAGTTTTACAAGAAAATATTATTTCATCAATCAAAATTTTCAAAATGTCATTAGTTAATTAAGTCTGTTGTTTGCTGCTTCTTTGTAAATAATTGTGATTACTAGTCATTTCCGGGTGAATTTGTTCCAGTGTAAAAGCATAAAAACTGTCTATGGTGCATTCTAACAATATTTTAAATATGCGCTATCAATAAAATAAAATGTAAAAATCTATAAAAAAAATATTGTTTTCTTTTCTTTAAATAATTAAATATTTTTATTTATTTTGGGTTTGCTTATGCATGTGTATTTATCATCTTTGCAGTTGTTTCTGTAGTTTATTTGAAGCAAAATTCATGTCACACAATATTTTAAAGACTTGCTGTTAAATTATTGTATTTCTGGAAAGCACATTGTACATTAACCATGTAAATATTGAATAAACATGTCAAAAAATATATTATATATAACCCTAACCCTATATATATATTTATTTAAAAACCTGAAATAAAAAAAAAATCAATAAAAATACTGACAATGATGCATTTTACAATATTTTACATATGCACTATCAATAAAAAACACTTTATTTTACAGTGTCCATGTTACATACTCAAGTAATAATAGTAAATTTATTACATGCAATTTAAGTTACCCTAAACCAGCTCCTAACACAAACCTTAGTATTTAGTTAATTAATATTACTCAACACTAGAATGTATAATTACACTGTAACAAGGATACCCTAAAATGTACAGTTTTATACAATGCAATACAGAAAGAACCTCAAGGTACCCTTCAATGCCTCTCTACATGCCTGAGCTTCACAGCATGCATGAGCCACATGCTGTTAAAAGAGCCGTGATCCCGACGGTTCCCCGGCTGCCACTGGCTCTAAATGAACATGGAGGACGACAGGCTTCAATCTGCTTTCTGACCGGACAACAACACACACTCACACTGAAGTCTGGATTAACTCTTTACACACACTGTAAGTACACTGGAAATAAAACAGAGTACGGTCGGTTGCCTGCATGTGGGTTAGTGTGTGTGTGTGTGTGTGTGTGTGAGAGAGAGAGAGAGAGTGTGTGTGTGTGTGTGTGTGTGTGTGTGTGTGTGTGTGTGTGTTTTTGTTTGTCACTATATATCAGCACTAGCCAGGCATTAATATATCTGTGACTCTGTTGCTTGTGG